TTTTTTTGCAGTTGTAATTGATGATGTTTTTGGTATTTCTAATGCTTTGGTTACATATCCTATCCGGTAACTGTATACAACTCAAAGAAATTTTTCAGAGTTTAGTATCGTGGCGGACGAAGGGTATTTTGGGGAAGGGGGAATGCGAAAAAAAAAAAAGCAAAAACTTTGAGCAAATCCATTATTTTCACGTCATTAAATTTATAACATTTTTACAGTGATTTTAATTACCATTTGCGCTTTCGCCACTTTGCGTTTTAAAATTCCTTAACAGAATTTTTAGATCATTGATTTGTTCTTTACAGAAATCCGTATTGCATTTGGTGTTTCCTACACAAAACAGTCGCCTTGATTGCCAATTTACCGTTGAGCATTTGGTTAGTTCTTTCAGTTTATACGAGTAAAATTTGTTGCTATTTTGTCATTAGCCATTTTGCTCTGCACATTTTTCGCCTAAATTTTTTCTTTTATTCTTTTCTTCGTTTTGGTTTTTGGTAGCAATTGTTGTGGAGCAAACCGTGTTTTGAGCTGGGTGCATTAAAAGCTTGTTAGGGCTGTTGATTGTACGCAAAAAAAAAGGGTTTATGATTGAGAATAGGACGGAGAAGTGTTGTGAAAAGCTAAACTTCAAAAAGGTCACCTGTAATAGCGTCAATTTTAAGAACAAATTTGATGGACGCCTTAAAAGGCTCTTTTCGTTATTTCCATCTACATATTTATAATTTCTCCTTCTATTACGTCTTCTTCAATTAAAGTGAAAGTGTTTGTAAAAATTTTTTGATTTTTAAATAAAATTGCGTTCTTTTTTTGTTTTGGGAAGTTGTTTCCGCTAATTGGTACATATGCCGAAAGAAACAAATTTTCGCAACTGTGGCTGAAATTTACGATTCTTCATGAATTTAAATAACTATACGATCAATTTAGATTTAAAGGTGCGTGATAGGTGTGACTAATTTATTGCTGATGTGAATGCCGTTTCTCATAATTAAACTTATGTTTCTGAAAAGTAAAAACTCCAAATAGTATTTTGTTTTTAGATGTTTAACGAAAAAGTCATCTATTTTTTTTATGCGGTACTGGACGAGGCACAGACGTCATTGTTTCCCTGTTCTTTTTTTAGTGGGACATTAAGTTTTTTTTTTGTCTTCTGATCATTTCATTGTTATAGTTAAGGGACTGTAGCCGATTTTTGATTGTTAATTATTTAAAATGTTCGGGTATTCCATTTGGGTAGAGAAATGAGAGTGGATATTTTGTAAGATGTAAATAATAATTTCTGCTCGAAAAATTTTTTTGACAGCAGATTGTATCTCTGGCAGCGGTTTTGCATTTTAGCTAATGGAGTGTTTCATTTTTGCGTCTTTTTAATGCTCTTTTTATCATTTATGGATCTTTGCAGGCGCTACGTAATTTTATTGGCACGGTTTTGGATGGGCTCTTCCGATGCTCCCGATATGTTAGTAGATCTTTTTTTTGTACTATATCAGTTTCTGCGCATTTCCAGTGAAAATGAGAACTAGATACTGACTCGTTCAAAGTTGAGTTTTTGGATTAAATGAGGACTTGACCTTTAAATATCTTTTGAGAAACGACATAGAGAGATGAAAAAAAGAAATAAATGTTGAAAATCTTTTTATTTAATTTTTTAATTTTACTGATTTGGTAAGCTATATTTCTTGCCTTGATCAACCAGTTCATATAACAGATCTTATATTTACAGAATTTCATTGCAGTTGAGAGGGTAGTGGCAGGAAAGACAGCATCAATTGGAACTATAGGAGCCCGTACAAAAAAGGTATTCACTGGTCCCCCACTTATACAATATTCTTTTGATGAAGATTGTACAAAGGCTGAGGAACAACAGGTATGTTTTGTAGGATTTCTGCGATTGTCACTGAAAGAACTTTGTTTGAAGCAGTTCTTTTCAACTAGTTTCTTATTATAGCCACTAACAACTCCACCCTCTTCTTCTATTGATTGCATTGTCTTGGGAAATGATGAACGATCGCTGGCTTATTCAACAACTTCTGTTATAAAACTTCTTGATCTAACTACAGGTTTTTTGTGTATTTTTTTTTCGCGATTAGTCGAAGTACACCGTATTCAGTGATTCTTAAGTTTATTTTTTTTTAGGTAGAGAGTTGAGAACCTTGGTTGGTCATGATGCAAGAATAAACGCGGCGGCTCAGAGCAACAGGTAACTGCTTTCGACCTTTAGTTATCTGAGAAAAATTTTTTAGTTTTGTATCATCAGTCATTCATTGTAATATTGACCAGCAGTGTTTCCAGTTTTAAAACTTTATTTTGTTTTTGTGGCTATTTCCTAGAGTTCAGGTCCGTTTATGTGTGGGCATCAGCATCTGCTGATTGTACAGCCGCATTGTGGGATACTAGACTGCACCCAGCGAAGGTACAAGTGAGGAGATTGGATCGGACAGCAAACTGTGTGCAGTTCAGTCCTAACGATGCTTTTATTGCCGTTGGCTCGGATAATTTGTATATGATTGATTTGCGAGCACGTGCAATGAGATCTCTTTCGTCATTAACACAGGTTTCTGAAGGACTTGCAATTTACTTATATAATATCACTCTAGTAAGCCACTCTCACTCATACTTTCAATTGATAAGGCAGTAGACAAGGATACTGGGGCTATGGCACTTTGTCTTTTTTTAATTTCTATATTTGGATTAATGTTTTATTATTTAAGTTTTGTTTCTTTAAGTGCAGGGCTAGGGAAAACAGACAAATTTTCATTTAAACTTCTGATTTTTGTAGCTGCTAACCAAGGCTTTAAAAGTCTTCAATCAGTGTAGCAGTTACTTCTTATGTCGATGGTTGTAGGTTTCACATGTGCGCTTTCATCCTTCTGAATATCTTTTGGCAACTGCATCTGAGGATCGTCTGGTGCGTTTTTGGGACATAGATTCCGAAGAATGTGTATCTCAGAGTGATCCCACTGACGGGCCGATAAGGTCTATAGCCTTTCATCCAGAAGGCTGTGCTCTTTTTACTTTAACAGATAGGTAGGACTTGAAAAGTATTAGTAGAATTATTTTGTAATCGTTTATAAATTTATCGTAAACAGTTTTTAACTCCTCCCCCTCCAGTTTCTTCAACTTTTGTTTCCCTTCAAATCTGTTTTGTCAAGCTAGTAATTTTTCTTTTCAAGCCAGGTTATTTTACCGTTTATTTTTGTCTGCAGGCGATGTGGCGCAATTTCTTGGGAGCCTTTTGATGTCATAGGGCAACGTAGTGTTACAAATTGCGACCGAGCACTTGGTTTGGCGGTTGATGATCAAAGTGTCTATGTACTCAGCCGTTCATTGACTTTGAAACAATTCTCCGTTCAAAGCGCTAGTTTTTCGGTAACTCTCTGTTATTTTATTGTGGATTTATTGCAGAATGATACATTGTTTTAGTAAAAGTACGGTTGAAAAAAGTCTCTGATTGTTTCAGTACGTGTTTCCTTCTTTTATACTTTGGTTTTCGTTTACAGTTTTGGGGTAAATAATTACTCTTAATCGGTGTTAAGTTATGAGAGTCTTTTGATAACTTTCTTCTTTTTCTTAATAAATATAAGACTTATTTAAGCTCCTGAGTAGAATCAATTGTTTATGTTTTAATTACCTCACCTTATATTTTTTTTGAAACAAAATATTTTGGATAAAAAAAATTGAAGATGTCGAAAAGCATTACTTCTTGTGGTACCTTAGTTTTTGAGGTTCGACAAAGCTTTGAATCACAACCCGAGCTTTTGCATTCCTAACAACAGTCTCTTTATAATACTTTTTTCATCTGTCTTCTTCCTCAATAAAATTTGTTTTTTTATTTCATATTACTCTGGTCTAGAACATTATCGTTTTTCAGTTTTGAAGTAAGAATGAGAAATGATTTTTTTTTCTTTTTTTTTTGTGGAATTTGATGAAGATGGATGGCAAACTGTTAGAGTTTCTGTGCGAAATAATCTACATTAAGGTATCCCGAACCAATTATTTTTCATTTTCTTATCCGTAACTCTAATTGGTATTTTTGACATTTTGTTCAGGATCACTTTTTGCTGTTTTCCTGAAACTGTTTCATAGATTATTTGAGTAGTAATCTGCGAAATCTGTTTCAGAAAATGGCTTGAACATTGAGGTGACAACTATTTGGATTTTATTTTTTAAGTCTTTACACTTTTTTGTGGAAATTAAATAACCTTGTTATCGATAGTTTTTTTTTTTTTTTTAAAAAGAAGTGCACCGAAATTCTGCTGTGACTGCTAGGTGACTGGAAGTTTTTTCTTCTCTAACTTTTTATTTATTTTACCACTTTTAATTAATATTTCTTTTCTAATTACTTTTATTGGTACTTTCCAACTATATTCCAAAACTCGAAATAGGGCAAGGTTTGGGTGGTAATTTTAGAGCGTTGCAGCCACTGATTAGGCGGTGAGGCATTAACCGCGTATTTTAGGAAGGTTCCAGTTGCAAAACCAATTTTCCAACTATTTTAGAAAGAATATTTAAATTGAAGTTGAAATAAAGCATCAAACTTTGTTCGTTGTTGCTCTAGTGAAAAATATACAGCTGTGCGCTACAACACGGAATTCTCGATCTTGAGACGTTTGGAGTTTGATATGAAATACGACGGGGTTCAGATAAAGATGTGGTTTTGAAGGTCACGAAATATTTCTCACGAGAGTATGTGACATTGTGAAGATGTGTTTTTTAAACAGGGAGAATTTCGCTTGCAGCGAAGTGAAAGAACAAAAAACAGCGACAGAAATATTTTCAAAAATTATCGGACAGGATTTGTTTGAAATCGCCAAATGCAAGTCCAAAATTTTTTGACACCGTCGTTGTTTGTGATAGAAAGCTCTTATGATCGAAATTCTCGCGTGATCTCAAGTATTTAGAAATGGGAACAATTTTTTTTGTTGCAGATTTAAGGTGATGCAGGGGTAGACCTTGTTATAATTTTAGGCACTGGGAGTAAGAAGCATTCAAAATCTCTGGCACTTTGAAGAGTTTAGAGCAATTTTTAAGCTTTTTGTCTTATCTTCTGTTCGCCTTTCTCGACATATGGGGGTTGTAATGGGAAAATACCGTCTGTTCTATTCAGAAGTCTTTTCATGCATTTATTCCATTGTATTCTTTTAGTCTATTTTGGGAATTGATCAATATTGCTCGGAGCATAGTAGCAACGAGTAGTGGCAAATTATAATTGATAATCTTGGTGCAGTTGCTAAGGTGGCGACATGCTGCGCGCTAAAAAACGAGCAATTTATTGGTATTTGTTAGTTTTTCTGAGCGTTTAGGAGTAGCTGTACTAGAGTGAAAATTGTTTTGAAGATATTAACAGTTGATAATTGTCTAAGGACATTTAAGTTTTTTTGATTTTCGAAATTTAGGCTTTGTTGAGTTTGAGTCTAGAACAGGATGATGAAGAAGTGGGCAGCGGATTCATTGACAGTATCCGGGTTGAAAATGAACATTCCCAGACGGTTTTAAACAAGAATTCTGAAGATACAGATCCTGAAGTTCAAATCTTTATGCCTTCGAGAACTCTGCCAAGAACTCCTCCTCCACAACCTTTTACAATTCCTCCGTGCGAGGAAGTGCAGGTGGGTTCAAAACAAATTTATAAAATGTTGTAATCAGTTTCTGGGTTGTTGTTATGCTTTTGTGGAACTTACCTGAGAATATTTTTTGCTAGGAGAGTTGTTTTTCTATCACATTAGAATTTCAGACGTTTGTGGCTTCAGCTGTTGTAACAAAACCTCCATCGTCAAGACCTGTATCTTTAAAAACACGTCGATTGGCAGGACCGAATACGAAGTACCGTTGTTATAGCAATAGTTGAAAGTGTGGCTCTCTAAAAGATTTATTTTTCTGAGATAAAAAAATTATTTTTAGGGGATCTGCTAATAAACATTCCATCACAGGAAGATCTTCTTTGTCAGGAAATCGTAGTGGGAAGACGAGTCACAGTTAGTTTGACTTTTCTTCAACTTTTTTTTTAAAGTTGTTTAATTTGAGTTTTAATGTTATATAATAATTTAGCTGTTTCCAATCATGCGCCACCTACCTCCTCGGGTCCGGATCTTAAAACAAATCACCAGCGCAAACGCAATGAAGGC